GCTTTTTGGAAGGGATTTGTCCCAAGGCACCTCTTGAAATTTTCCTGTCATACTTGAAGTCCTACTTTCAGTACCAGAAAAATCACACAAACTTAATTTGTGTCCTCGAAGCTTTTTACGTCTGGCTGTGTAATCTGCCATGGGAGCAGATGTACTGCTGGTTGTGACGATTATCAAGCCTTCTCTTGGATCTTTTTTTTTTTGTCCACAAGGACACTTTCAACTATCACAATATTTTTGGAATGAGTTTATAAACATTTTGTCTAGAAACTTCTAACCTGGCTTAAATCATCTTTTGGATAGGAGGTACTAGAACCAATGACGTACAAGACCTGTCACATATAGGAAAAGCTTTTTAGGTAGGTTTTCAAAACAATACAGCAAATGTTTTTAACTTTGTATATACAGCAAAAGCTTAGTTATCCAGCACTTTATCAGCTGGAAAGCTCCACTAACCATCATCCGAGGAACACAGCAAAACCAAAACTGGAAGTCCTACTTCCAGTTTTGCTGCTGCGAGCTGAGTTCTTCACTTCTTCAGCCCACAGCCCAGGGCAAAGCAGTGTCCCCCAGCACACTAATGCCGGGGAGTACACTGGATGGTGTACATTTGATTAAGTGGCATATTTTGATTAACCGGTATCCCCCATTCCTGGTTTTGCTGTAACCCTTTTTATTTAATTTTGTAAGGCAGTAGAAAAGATCATCAGAGCCAGCCTCCATTGGCTGTCTTACATGCATTATATAGTTGGTTGTTTACAATCAGTAAGTCTTAATGTTATTGTCCAAGGCAATGAACAGTAAGACCTGACCTGGAATAATGCATAAAAGTCTGCTCACACATGTTCAAGTATTAACACTGAACTAGGTATGCCAAAAGGGTGTTGGTATAATCCGGGAAATGGAGAGTCCTGACTGACAGAGCATATCTGTATAGGTTTCCTCTTAACCCTGGATCCCCTGTTGACAAAATAACTCTTTCACTCTTTGCTTAGCGGGTGCACCAGAGACCAGCAGTTCTGCCATGGAAAAGCTGTCTGATCTACCCGAGTGCGAACTGTATTGCCTTACTTAGGTTCTCTGTCTTAGCAGAGCCCAAGAGCAGCACTGGGTATTAATGCTCTCAGCTGCCCACCCCTCTTAATTATTGGTGCCTGAGGACTAAGCAGGAGAAAGTACACAAAGCTAGTTCTTGTGGAAGACCTGGGATTGTGAAGGGAAAACCTTATGGCCATGTCCTAAAAGGACTTGACTTGTTTGGCCTAGTAAAATGAAGTATGAGAAGACATGAGAGGTGTTTTCATTATATTTCCAGGGGAAGAAGAAGCACAAGGGAAAGACGAGCTATTTACGGTTAGTGTGCCAGAAGTATCAACTAAGATGAGCTATCTATAGTAAAGTGTAGCTGGAAATTAGAATGCATGCATCCCCAATATATGTATATTTATTTATTTATAAATTATATACATGTACTGCTGTACTAATATATTATGTACATTATAAAACAGACAAAAAATAGAAATTAAAAAAGATGAAATAAAATTTAAAAAAAATTTTAAAAATATTTTGTTTATTAACGGTACAAAAAAACTTTTTGCTCGTGCTAAAAAAAATATTATTTCATTTTTACCTTGTAATGTGGCTGACAAAGAGCTCGTACTGGGAGTAGGAGAAGTGTCAGCTTTGCCATTTTCTTGCTCGCATTATTAGTATTATCTTCAATCCACTGTTTCTTTGCAGGAATCTTTTTAATCCACTTGTCCATTTTGTGAGGGTTAGTTTAGTTAAAACTAGACAACGTAATTCATAAATCCACTTAACTGGGCACACGTAAACTGCAATACGTCGCAATACGCTGAAAGCGAACGAACGCTTCTTCCCTCGGGATACCTCACATACCGTACATAACACGTGACCATCTGACATACGGACTGAGTGAAGGCGCTAGTGTCAATCTGTATATTAAACATTAGTAAAGCTTAATTTCTTTCTTATTTTTTTAGATAAATAAAAATACAAGTTCTAATATTTTCTTCATGCACCCCAATGGATCATCTTGCACACCCCACTTTGGAGACCACTGCTCTAGAGCAGTGGTTTTCAAGCTAGGGTCCATGGACCCCTGGGGGGGTCCGCAGACTGTCTAGGGCAGTGAGTCCCAAACTTTAACAGATTGCACACTACCAATTTTTAAAATAATACAACCTTAACTACCACCAGTAAATTTCAGTTCAACCTGAAGTACCACCTGCAAATTTTTGTTGAATAAAGTAATTATAAGAAATCTGTTAACATAACACTGACAGGTTGTCTGAGTACCACAGAATGGGAACCACTGATCTAAGGGGTCAATGAAAGATGACTATGATCATTCAAAAGTATGTGAATACCTCATAGGTGCTGACTTTAATTTTTTTTTCTTGGGGTGGGGGGGGAGGAGACAATGGACATGGAAATTTTTATGCATTTCAGGTGACAGACCTCTTCGTGAGGGGCCTGAGCACCCCCACATACTCGATGCCTCTGGAATGCCCACACTTACAATTCAAAGGTGTCTGTACCTCCATTCAAAATTTTTTAGGGATCTGCAAATGAAAAAAAGTTGAAACTCACTTCTCTAGAGGGATGGGATCAAGGAGTCCTATGCTTGATGTCCCATTTTGTACTGTATTTTACTCATGTAAGATTGAGTATAAAATTCCAATCAGCATGGGGGGGGGAGGCTTCTTGTCTTGCACTTGCATACAAGGAAACCTTATTAAATGCATCATCTAAACTGCCAAAAGCAGCTTGTACTGAGTAATGGAAACCACCTATGAAGGTAATTAAATGTAGCCAACACCGAGTGTGACTATAAAACACATAGCCTGTATTGGGCAAACCATACTGTCCCTTGGCTATAACATAAACCTAAGCTATCTGCCTATAATAACATTTGAGCCACTCTGGGGTTTCTCAGTCTCTCACCAGTATCACATCCTTCATTCATTTAGGCCTCTTCTCTGTTCTTACTCCAACAGAGTTCCTACCCCTTTGGCAGCCAGCAGGGAACTGCTTGCCTGGCTTCAGCCTGGGAGTTATATGGGAGCCAGGCCCTGTCCCTTCTGGTCAGCTGTCTCCCACCGGTTACCCTGGCAACACACAGTTTTGTGTTGACTGTTTACAACCAGAGGACCGGGTGAGGCTATAAGGGTATGGAGGAGGCCTCATAGGGGAGCCACGGCCGCGTAGAGACCCCAGAGAAGCCCCGGAGAGGGGGCAGCAAGAAGCCTCAGAAAGGGGCTGTGGAAAGCCAGAGTGCCTGTGGGATGCAGCTGAGAGATGAGGGCTGCGGCGAGCCCAAGCGCCAGAGAGGGCGCAGAGAGTGAGATAGACCAAACAGCATCTGGTACATCTGCAAGGCTTGGGGCGTGGTACAGGGGTGGTTGGAGCCACACATAGCCCATAAGGCTGGGGTGTTTGGAACCCCATTATAGAGGCAAGATGTGAGGTAACTGAAGCACCGTGACCAACAAGACGAGAGGAAGCCTCCCTTTAAAATATTTATGATCAAGACGTGGCGGGTGAGAATGAAGGGTGCCTTATAGGCGAATTGGACATGGTGAGGAGTGCTAGGGGAGAGCACGGCAACCTTAGGGGCCCCTGCCTGGTACAGAGTAAATATGGTATATTCTAGCACTATTGCCTGCTCTGTGTACCAGCCTTCTTCCTTTTCCCCCTTTACAGAGGGTGAAGTTTGAACAGTAGGTTTCACAGTATGGTGGAAGCTCCATCCTTGGGGATTTTCAAAACCCTGCTAGACAAAGCTTTTGGTGGGATGGTCAAGTTGGGGCTGGTTCAGCTTTGAGCAGGGGTTGGACTTAGATGACCTCCTGAGGTCCCTTCCAACCCTACCTTTCTATAATTCTATATAAGTGTGAGTGTTTTGGGTACTATGTGCTCTAATAGGCTGCATTAGAAGCAACTTGCTGGGAGATATAGGCAACAGTGATGATAGAGAGAGCTGCTACCACCATGTCTCTAAAAACAGATCATCTTATACCCTTATTCAGACTCCACTAAAGCTAATGGAATGTCTCCTGTTGACTTCAGAGGGCTTTACACTAGGCCAACAATTTTCAACCAAGGTGTTGTACTTTTAAGAGTGCCGTTAACACTGTTAGGTATGCAGACATGTACGCATGATTCACAGATTAAACCCAAAGATTTCAAATAGGATTTCGTACTGTCGAAACATTTTGACCTACTGTGGTCCTTCTGAATTCTTTGCAACAGAAAACTTGATTTATTATTTTCCCATAGTCAAAAAACAAGTGAAAGGTAAGAGCTGACATTTTCTGAGGGGTACCTTGAGTCTAAAGAGGTACGTTGAGCCTAGAGTCTAAAAAGATTTAAACCTAGTGGATTAGGCCCTCACTGTTACGACTCAGTAACTAGGAAAACTTAAAATACAGCATAAGAGTCTGAAGTCTTCCTTGCATGGACTGTCTACTGTTCGTGATGATGTTTGTTTGAAGTACACAGCCCTCCCCCCCCCCCCCCCCCCCTTAATATTGCATATAGTATCTAGCCTTTCCTTCTAAATGACGTGCAGTTTTCCGCACAGTGGGCTTTTACACATCCATGAAGACACTATTACAAGTCTCCTGCATGTATTCAAGTTTTTTTATTTTAAACCCAAAACTTGCCCTTTTCTCCCTTTTTAAAAACAATACACACTGCCTTCCTGTTTGGTTCGGAATATATGGAAGTGGTGATTCCTTACCAGGGACACTTATTTCCTTTTAATATGAAGAGTAAAGGGGGAGGAGGACTGATGAACTGTGCTTTGGCTTATGCTTATTTATAGAACCAAACAATTGTTTTCTGTAAAAATAGAAAATCATAGACCAGTTATTTGGGAAGGATAGTTCTTAATTTGATTTTTATATATGCAAACTGGACAGCTTAATAATAAATCGTTAAGTGAAAAGCTGATGTCACTTTTGTTTTATTTACAGTCTCCTCTCAGCCATGACCTCATCCTTAACCTGACTCAGGATGGAATCAAACTGCTGTTTGATGCTTTCAATCAGAGACTTAAGGTAAAATGATAACTAGGATAGAGTCTAACCTAATATGATGATTGAACAGATGAATCCAGTTGTTTATATGCTACACACAATGTGCTCTGGAAATAATTGGCTATATTGTGAGTTTCAGTGGCCAAATGTCATATTTGTAGAAATATTTAATGTTAACATATTCTATGGGAGACTATATATTGAAGCTATAAAAAAATACTTATTCTAACAGAATCTGTTTTCACTTGTTTTAGATTGGAGCATATGCTTAAAAGGACTTGACTGATCAGTTTAAACACGGGATCTAAGTTCAGATGGATTACTGCAGTACAAGTAGCTGTAGTATTGGGAGGCAGGGCGGAGTCTTCACCCAATTGCTTTTTTTTCTTGCTGTTTTACTTCTGTAAATCCTTGTTCCCACCTCCACCCACCCTTTACTTTTAGGTGAATTATGTTCATAATAAAATCATGTGGCCACTGGTGTATGTTTACTCTCAGAAGGCCAGATAAAAGGCTTGTGTAACCACAAACTTTACCATGGAGTTCAACTGCATTGTTAGAATCTAACCCAAAAGCTTAAGAGCCTCAGCCTACCAATCCCCCTCACAGTACTCTGAACACGTTACTTAAACAGTTTGTATACAAAGAATGCTTTTTATATTCGCCATCTTTAGTAGACAACAAGTTGGTTAAAAGTAGCCTCTGCATGGAATCTTGGGGGAAAAAAATCCTACTATTGATGTGATGTGATCGGTTTTAACCAAGCAAATTGGTGAGTACAGGTGTAGGGCTTTGTGGATATTTGGTTGCTAGTATGAATTGAATAGCATGCTCTACAGTCCTCCTTCAGAAAAGGCTCCTCCAAAAGAAGGGCACCTATACATGTGAATTGAGGCTGCTCTAATGCACTGTAATTACAGCGTGTCAGAGCAGACTTGATCAATGCATATACAAATTAGGCATGTGCCTAGGGCCCTAAGTGAAGAATGGGCCCAGTTGTGGTTATTTTACATATTCTAATTATTGAGTGAAAAGAAGTAGGGGCCCATGAGTTTGTTTGCTTAGGGCCCACTAAGGGGTTAATTTGGCCTGGTCTGCAGGGTAATTACCAGAGGTGCACCAATACATCAGTCCAATATCAGATCAGCACTGATGTAAAGAAAATTGACTGTATCAGAAATCGGCTTTTTTTGCCCGAGGTAACCAATAAAGGTGGCCAATAAATTCTCTGTGCACGTGCGCAGCTGCAGTGTAGTGTGTAGGCAGGGAGAAGCACAGCCTGGCAGCTTGGAAAGCTGTGTGCAGCTGGTAAGTCTGTTGTGGAAGGGGTGGGGATAGGGAAGGGATGTGGGGGGCACAGATCAAGGCCCCTGCGGTGAGGGAGGGGGCAGGGCAGGCACTGCCCGGGCGGGGCACAGGACGGAGCTGCGGCGGAGGGTGGGGGGGAGTGGCTCCTGCTGCTGCTGCTGCA